TTATACGATGTATTACTAGAAAGCAACTACTGGAAACATACAGTTCACTCGAATAAACAAAATTGCTCATGATGACTGACTCACCGGGTCTTGAAGCCACGTTCACACGGGGTTGTACGACGTCGCTCGTCCGCGGAACAACTGAAAAGTATTCATCAAGACATAAAGAATAAGTATGAACAGAAAACACACGAATAAAAGGAAGACTGCGCAAAAAAAAACATCGAAAAAGACAAGAAATACACCAAAACCAAGATTATCGATCGGAGCGCGCCATCTGCGCCCAACGTACGCGTCATGCGCCAGAGCGCGTATTGACGCTCTTCACACTGTCGGTGCGGTCGGCGCCGTCGGCACCGTCGGCACCGACCGCACCGATGCGAACTATGAAAGCAGCCTTACTGTCACTGGCTGCTGAAGCAGGGTTGAGCGTGCATAAGGATTTCTCAACTCTTGGTGGACCCTTGGTTCCTCGCCCGATCAAACACGTTCTCTCGCGCGGACATTCATACTCCCATCCGCGAGCCGTCTATGCCATCCGCACGAACATACACTCTACACGTGACGGATAGCGATAGTCGAGGGATTCCCCAACGTACGCTTGACCCTGTGTTAAAGTTCACAGAGATGCCATCCCTATCTTGATGTGAGCCTAATATGTATAGCCAATCGCCGTGTTTTCACGCAAAGCATTCTTCTGATAATGTTTGCAGAAATAGTGGCTTCGTTGGAAGCTCAGTTTCAAATGCTCTGTTTCTGAATCACTTCTGAGAAACTGCCGCCATTATATGTTATTAGGGAACACGTTTTTCGCTCTATGCAAATGTGCTTTTCAAAACTGATCTCCTTTCCTCTCTTCTTCAAAGTTTTGAATGCAACATACTTAACAGGTTGTTCTGCACGAGCATCGTGTTCTCCCTCAAATCTAGCCGAAACAGTGCAGAAGCTAGTCGCGATGTCAACTAGCGTTTGCTTCCAATTCCAAAAAAAAAAACATGGTGCGCAGTTGTCATTCAAAATGTCTTCCTAGCGCTCATGGAAGCTCCGAATCAGATTAGGGTGGCGGTCGAGTGTAATAGATTGACAAAGATTAACCGAGAGTTTTGATAAGAGCAAATCTTTGTGAAACTGTGTAACAAATCGCTTTTGAATTAGGCGTAACCGACATGGAGTTCTCAAATATAGATTTAAAGTAAGAAGCCCAAAACCGTTAGCAAGTGGGTGCCGCCGCCTCTATTCCTCACTGTTGCGCAGTCCCACCTTGCACTTCCACCGTGCAGAAGTTAAACTAGGTGAGCTCCAAAGCTGAGGCGCGAATCTTCTACACAGTGGACCTCTCGCCTACTAACTATCACATTTCCGAACACTTAGTCTCCCTTTCAAAAACGAGTGGAGCGATGAGTGCATACCAGGATCAAGCCAACCCGAGGGAAAATTTGGAAATACGACCCCCCCCCATCTCTCCCCCAGAATTCGTAGTCCATGGAACAGCCCTCTCCAAAAGCCGAACTATGAAAAGGTTGTTTAACGGCGGATACGATAAGTTTGGACTGGGTTCATAGTGGAAGTGGAGATGCTGAATAATGCCCCAGTGGCGAAAAAAGCAAAGAAATCCGTCAAGAAGGCGCAAAATGGGACCCCTTTCTTTGCCCGTTGACCTCCGATAATGGACGAGCTAGCAACCAATTAGGAGGTCGTTTGCACATGTTATGCTGATAGCCTCTATCATTTCAGCAAGCATCATGCTTTGATTGATCACGCATCCCATGAAAAGTTATAGGATACACTCTGGAAGTGGAATATCTCGTCACATTGGCAATCGAAGGGCGCTGCTGCTGGGGGCGGAGCACAGACCGTGGCGGGGCTCAGAAAGGAATGGCAAGCCTTGTACGCTGCAACTAGCGCACCTTTGACCACAAAAACGCAACATTTCGTTTCCTTGGGCCCCTGACTACTGCTTCCAATGGTGCATGTACTTCCACGCTGCATACGCACTTTATCGTAATCTCTCGCTTTAAATCTCCAGCAAAACTGCTCATAAAAGAGCTCTGCTACCCCACCGTCCGCAAAAAAATTCGTTTATGAAGTACAAAAGTGAAAAAAAAGCCAAAGAATGACCATTACCCAGCAGGTCGGTTCCACGGTTGCCAGGTTGGCATACCCGTGTGCCGAAGCTCCGACCTGTTCCACATACTACCTCGTAAACTATGGCACCATGGCCAACTGGTGGGGTACTTGCTTGCTGCAAATTTACCAAAGGCTGTTCTACTGCCACAATGCACTGGCATGGTGAATGTACAGGGGGGGGCAAAAAAAAGACACATTTTGCCTATGTCGGACTTCGGCTCTTTTTTCTTCGCAGAGATTGCCGTCGTTGACGGGAGTTCCTCAGCAGAGTATTCCCTAAGTGTCCCTCTATAAGTGACGCAGGCCCTCCTTCACTGCCCTCACCGTCTTCAGAATATGACGTCATCTGTCACCGTCGTCAGGCTCAAGGAGGTCTACCGTAAGTGCTTCAGCCTGAAGCTCTTACGCAATTTCGTGAATCGATTTAATGTTGGATAGTTTTCTAGAGGCATTAGCTCCCACTATGCAAATCCCCTCGAAACTAGCTTTCCAGTAAAGGTCGTTATGGTACACGAATCCTTCGAAGACCCCATTGAGCTCGACCAGTGCACCATGTTTCCAGGGCAAATTCTTCTGATGCCGTCCACGTAGGTGGCCACTATGAAGATTTTCTTATAGAATGAAATGCGCTCTTCAATAATAAGTTGGG